CAGAGCTAAGCAAAAATACAATCTTCAAATACAAGGCTCAAGAGAAGCATAAAAAGGTAAATAGGAAAGAAAAAAAATGTTATTCAATAAGGTTAAACTGTTTATATCCTTATGATAAGGAATGATACTTGTAACTCTTTAGAAATGTATCTTTATTATGACATTTAGAAGGGATATACATAGACAGAGAATGAAGGCATGAGTTAACTTTGATGTGATGATAAAAAATTAATTAACTAAAGGGTGAAAAAAGGATTATACTGGGAAAAGAGGAAAGGTGGAAGCAGAAAAGAGTAAATTACATCACATAAAGAGACACCAAGACTTATTACAGTAGAAGGAAAGAAGGGAGAGATGCAAGCATTGTTTTAACCTTACTCTCATGAGATTGGCTCAAAGAAGGAATAATATACACTCAGTTGGGTACAGAAATCTTTCTTACCCTAGTACTTCCTACTAGGAAAAAAGAGAAAGAAAAAAGAAGGGTCTAATAGAAGGGAGAGCAGAATGGAGGGAAGATTGAGGTAGGTGGTGGTCAGAAGAAAAACACTGGTGAGGATGGAAAGGGTGAGAGGAGAGAGAAAAGCATAAACAGGAGGGGAAATAGGATGGAGAGAAAGACAGTTAGGAATCACAACTCTGAATGGGAATAGGATGAACTATACTAGAAGTTAAGGAAGTGAATAAAATTTTTACAAAGATATAGTAGACTTCTGGAGAAAACTGAATAGGGACAGAAAATATTATACATTTTTCTCAGCGGTACATGGCACCTACACAAAAATTGACAATGTACACAAAATCCTCACAGTCTAATGCAGAAAGGCAGAAATATTAAATACATCCTTTTCAGATCATGACACAATAAAAATTACATGTAATAAAGGGCCACAAAAAGATAGATTAAAAATTAATTGAAATTAAATAATCTAATCCTAAAGAATGAATGAGTCAAACAACAAATCATAGAAACAATCAATAATTTCATCCAAGAGAATAACAATAATTAGACAATATAAGAAAATTTATAGGATGTGGCCAAAGCAGTTCTTAAGGGAAATTTTATAACTCCCAATGCTTACACGGGTAAAACAGAGAAAGAGTAGATCAATTAGACATGCAGCTAAAAAAGTTAGAAAAAGGACAAATTAAAAATCCCCAAATATATATCAAATTAGAAATTCTGAAAACCAAAAAAGATATCAATAAAATCAAAATTAAGAAAACTATTGAGAAAGAAAATTAGAGACCAATTTCCCCTAATGATTATTGAAGCAAAAAATGTAAATAAAATAATAGCTAAGAGATTATAGCAACTTATTATGAGGATAATACACAATGACCAGGTGAGATTTGTACCAGATATGCAAGACTGGTTCAGTATTAGGAAAACTATCAGCATAACTGACCATATCAATAACAAAATTAACAGGAATCATGTGATTATTGCAATAGATGCAGAAAAAGGTTTTGACAAAATACAGCACACATTCCTATTAAAATCACTAGAAAGCAAAGGAATTAATGGAATTTTCATTAAAATGGTAAGTAACATCACTCTAAAACCATCAGCAAGCATTATTTGTAATGAGGATAAGCTAGAAACATTCCCAAAAGATCAGGGATGAATCATGGGTGTCCATTATCACTACTATTATTCCATATTATAGTTGAAATAATAAACAAATTTAGCGAAATTGCAGGATATAAAATAAACCTGCATGAATCAACAGCATTTCTATATATTACTAACAAAACCCAGCAGCAAGAGAAAAAAGAGAAATTCCATTTAAAGTAACTGTAGACAATACGAAATATTTGGGAGTCTATCTGCCAAGACAAACCCAGGAATTATATGAACAAAATTAAAAAATATTTTTCACACAAATAAAGTCAGATCTAAATAATTGGAAAAATACCAGTTGTTTATGGGTGGGCCAAGCTAATATAATAAAATAACAATTCTATCTACATTAATTTACTTATTCTATGCCATACCAATCAAAGTACCAAAAATTGTTTTATAGAGCTAGAAAAAATATTAACAAAATTCATCTGGAAGAACAAAGTTCCAGAATATCAAGGGAATTAATGAAAAGAAATGCAAGGAAAAGTAACCTAGCTGTGCCAGATCTAAAACTGTATTACAAAGTAGCAATTATCAAAACTATTTGGTACTGGCTAAGAAATAGAGTGGTGGATCAGTGGAACAGGATAGGTATACAAGACACAGTAATCAATGACTTTGATAGAGCCAAAGAATCCAGCTTCTGGAATAAGAACACACTATTTGACAAAAACTGCCAGGAAAACTGGAAAAGAGTATGGCAGAAACTAGTCATAGGCCAATATCTTAAACCACGTACCAAAAAAAGGTCAAAATGGCTACATGATTTAGACATAAAGGGTGATACCATAAGTAAATTAGGAGAGCAAGGAGTAGTTTACCTGTCAGATCTATGGAGAACTGAAGAATCTATTACCAAACAAGAGATAGAGAACATTATGAAATGCAAAATGGGTAATGTTGATTACATCAAATTTAAAAAGTTTTTTTTTTTTTCACAAACCCAATGCAACCAAGATTAGAAGGGAAGCAGAATGCTGGAAAATAATTTTTAAGCCAATGTTTGTGATAAAGGCCTCATTTCTCAAATATGTAGAGAACTGAGTCCAATTTATAAGAATCAAGTCATTCCCCAATTGATGAAAGGTCAAAGGATATGAACAGGCAGTTTTCAGCTGAAGAAATTAAAGTTATCTAGTCATATGAAAAAATGCTCCAAAATCAGTATTGATTAGAGAAATGCAAATTAAAACAACTCTGGGGTACCACCTCACACCTGTCAGGTTGGCTAACATGACAAAACAGGAGAATGATAAATGTTGAAGAAGATGTAAAATTGCAACATTGTTGGTACAGTTGTCAACTATTCTAGCCATTCTTGAGAAGAATTTGGAACTATGCCCAAAGGGCTATAAAACTGTTCATTCCCTTTGATCCAGCAACAGCACTTCTAGGGCTGTATCCCGAAGAGATCATAAAAAAGGGAAAAGGACCCACATGTACAAAAATATTTATAGCAGCTCTTTTTGTTGTGGCCAAGAACTGGAAATTGAGGGGATGCCCATCAGTTGGGAAATGGCGGAACAAGCTGTTATAAGAAGTAATGAAATACTATTGTTCCATAAAAAAATCATGATTTCAGAAAAAACCTGAAAAGACTTAGATGAACCGGTGCTGAATGAAGTGAGCAGAAGGAGAATATTGTCCCAATAACAGCAACCTTGTGCAAAGAGCAACTTTGCTAGACTTAGCTCTGCTCAGCAATGCAATGATCTAAGACAATTCCAAAAGACTCAGGATTGAAAATGTCCACATTCAGAGAAAGAACTATGGAGTTTGAATGCAGATAGAAGCATACTATTTTCTCTTTATTTGTGTGTGTGTGTGTGTGTGTGTGTGTGTTTCCCCTTTTGTTCTGATTCCTCTTTTATAACATGACTAATGTGGAAGTATGTTTAATATTATTGTACATGGACAGCCTATATCAGTTTGCATGTCATCTTGGGGAGTGGGGAGCTGAGGGAGGTGGAAAAAAAATGAAACTAAAAATCTTAAAAAAGTGAATGTTGAAAACTAAAGATAAAAAATAAATAAATATTTTTAAATGTGATACTGTGACTTTTTGTTAATCTCATTAATAATTTTATTTGAGGCATTTCTTAAAATTTGTTTAGATAGTTGGGTTGGGAAAGCTCAGTAGAATAAGATCATTTCCTGCTACCATAATGTCTCTATCTCTTCTTTCTTTTTATTTTTTTCAATATTTCCTTTTCATTTTTTGTTTTTGCACAAAGCAGCTCCTGCTTTTTTGTGTTTACTTGATGCAAAGTAATTTTTTCCTATCCTCTCAGCTTTGTTTTCTGTATATCTTTTTTAAATGTGCTTTGATAACTACCTGATTCTACAGTTTTATTATTCAATTTGCCAATGTTGTGATGAAAATTTGTGAATGAGGGAAACTGAGGCAAAATGCTTTAAGCATGATAAATTTATTAGCAAGGCTTGTAATTACCAATAAATGAGGTCAATGAGTCCTCAATAGTCAGAGATTATGATTTATAAGAACTAAACTATGTAATTAAAGAATATAATTCAAAATAAATGATTGATCAATAATTGGTTAATATTTAACAAGTCTTTCATTTTATTGGAATGTTTAACACATTCACATTTAAATTTATGAGTTAATTTTATATTTTCTTCATCTGCTTCTAAATTTTTTATGTTAAATTTTTCCCCTTTTTCCACTGTGAACACATTGTTATGTTCATTCACTCACTTGCCTTTAACATTTTATTAAGGCAACTCTGTCTCCAGTGGCACTCTTCCCCTCAACCCTAATCTGCCTTTCTCATTTGTTGCCCCTTTCCTCTCAGGGTTTTGTTTATTAGTTCCTTTTTTCTCTACTGCTTTTATCTGGTTACAGATTTCTTCACCTGCCTTTTTCCCTTCAGGTAGATTTTCCTTTGCTGTCCTCACCTGTTCATTTTTCAACATTTCATTTTATGTCCCTTTTCAAAAATGGATTTATTTCACTCTCTTCATTGTTCATCACATATTTCTATCTACTCTGGACACTCATTCTCTGATTCACAATGCATATAATTATCTCTCCATATTCTTCATGCATTCAAAGTTTTCACATTATCTATTCTAGGCATTGCACTCCCATTACTTTCTACCATGATTTTCTAGAACTTATCTTACATATCACCCTTTTCCATTATACCTCTCTCCAATTGTAATATGAGATCCTTGAGAAAGGGGTCTGATTTTATCTTCTCCATTTCTTAGCATTTTGCCCTACATATAGTAGGTACTTAATAAAGGCTCATTGACTGCGGACTGAAAACTGAAAACTCACAGGTCTTCATTCTGGGAGATTTCTGACTTCAGGCACCACGCAGTGTTTGGAAATTCTCTTCTCTTATAGCTCCATTCCTTTCTAAAGAATATCCAGTTTAACAATAGTGCTGGCGATCAGGTGTTTATGGACGAGAATAGAAACCCTGAGGCTCAATATAACATCCTGAACTATGTAACCTTCAATATGGATGGCAAAGCCATGGTGAAAGTTGGACAGTTTATCCCCAAGGCTGAGCCTGGTCATGATTTTACCATTAATGAGGAGGCCATAGTGTGGAGCTGGACATATACTGAGGTCAGAAACAATTGTAATATAAAACTTTTATATAATCATGGGAACAAATTTTACCCTGCTTAGCTCACTCCACATTCCTTTTTGAGTAAAGAAAATCCTCCTGCACATTGATTTCTTTTCTCTTTGCAGCAAAATTCTGGTTGAAAAAGTCAAACATGCAATCCATCAAACAGTTTTGAACTTGGGATCTTTAACACCATTGGAGATAGAGCTGGAATGGTCTTTAAAGCCCATGTTACTCAGCCATGTCATCTGATATAAATGAAGAAACTGAGACATAGAAAGGTAGTGATTGTCCCAGTGCCCTCTGATCCCCAAACCAGTGTTTTGTCCACTACCTGGCATTATTTTGTGAATGATGACACCCAGCCATTTATCTTAATTCAGTAAAAATAAGGTTATGTTCAACCATCCAAGGACTATACCTCTATGGAGCTGAGCAATGAGTTTGATAGGAAATTGCTGAAACAGAGCATCTCTGAACCTAGTAGATGGTTTCTCTATAGAACTGTGGAATTCACCCTTTCTATTCTAATTAATAATCAAATCAGCCTCGTCTTTGAGTTCTCTGTGTCCTGCATCCCACATGCAGGCAGACTAAGTCTATTTTAGGTCTCTTCCATTTCCTTAAGTAGCTTATATTACAACCATTAAAAAGACATAGCTGACAGTGAGAATTGCCAAATTCTAGATAAATAAGGTCCTGAGATAGCATCTTGCTCAAATTCTTCCTCTTACAAATGATTGAAATTCACGAAGTTTAGAATGTTCAGTCAGTTTTCCACAGCTAGTGGCAGTTATGGGACTAGCATCCAGGTCTCTTCTTTCAGCCCCATGTTCCCTCTGTCTCATATTCCACTGGTATATGAATAATTCTCCTATTTCGGCTACAGAGTAAGCTATCTTTGCCCCAATCAATATCACTCACCCTCTGAAAATGATATATCATCCTCTGTCCCATTGATTTCCAGAACCATCACGCATTTTACTCCCTTGTTATTAGGTTCCCAGAGCCACGCGCAGTGAGAGCTGTGGTCCTGGATTCAGGCAAACCCCTCTGGAGGGACAGCCCATCTGCTGTTTCAACTGTTCTCTGTGCCCTGAGGGAGAGATCTCCAATGAGATGAGTAAGTGTCTGCAAGTAGTTTTCTTCCTATATCCATTGAACAGAATAAACTGGTGTTTTGCTCTAGGGTCACAAACAACCTCATCACTGACTGAGCAACTGGATATCCAGGAGTAAGGCGAGTCAGTAAAATGTCCTGGCCAAGGACAAATGGCTTGAATTAATGATACATGGCTACAGGATATACAGGAACAGAGTGAGTCAGGGGAAAGTTCTAGGCAAAGAACAAGTGGCTTGAATAAATGATACACGGTTAGAACGTGGTGTTCGACATTAGTGTAATATTCAAAATGAAACCTACAATATAAAAAGTAGCTATGTTGCCCTATCTCTTTGTAAAACATATTGGCATGGTCTTGTTATGGTTTTACATGCAATAAGATAGAATTACCTGGAGTGTGGAGAAGTATGTACTCTGAAAAATATTTGTGATAAGGTAGAACAGAGTTTATGAACATCTTGGGTGCTATACTCACTAGATCCTTTAGCCTTATAGAGGTTTGGGGGGATTATTCCCAAAGGAAATGGGCGCCCATGTTATGAGCTGGGTATTTTGTCATCACTAACTTTTGCAATATTTTAAAGCTATATTTTGATAAATCATTTAGGATGGAAAGTATGTCATGAAATATATGTGAGTCTCTGTATTTCCTTTGAATCTCTGTCACAGGAGACCTTGCCCTCCCTTTTAGAGTCAGTGTGGGCTGAGTAGCTTGGGTCATTGATTATGCAGCCCCAGTAGTCTAACACCCTATTAGATTTCTAAACTGTGCAAGAGTCTCACTCTAATAGTGAAAACTTTTAAGACTGAAAACAATGTAAACAATGAGACTGAGTGAAAGATGACGTATTAGAATCATTCTTTGCCTCTGTAAATAAATGACTTCACATGACTAAGTCTCCGAAGGTGGTTATGATGGAATCCTAATAAAGCTGCCCCTCACCCCAACATTCTAACTTCCTTATGTGCCTCACTGAACAGGCATGTCCTGAAATAACCACACAATCTGGCTTTAACCACACCACGGACTCCCAGACTCAATCTCAGGCCTCACCAAACAGCTGGCACGCTACCTCTAGCTAAGCACTGCCCCCAGATCTGACTCTTATATTTCCCACAGAAACAGCAGGTGTGTCCATGAACTTAACCACAGCCACATCATCCATTTAGCCCAAGATAGGACCACAATACCTAACTATCTGTCTTAACCAGACAGGACAATAGTCAGCCAATCAGAAACAGCACCACCAGGATGTAGACCAGGATGTGTGATCAACACACTATAGAAGGGGCTTCCCTTAAAATGGCACCTGTGCGGTAATAGCAACAAGTATAGGACAAAATGGAACCAGGGAAGATAGCCATGGCTACACATCCTTTCGTTATATTAGAACACCTATGTTCATCACACAAAACAATAAGGCAGTTATATGGGCAACATCCAAGGTCTTTGGAGACAAAGAGGTGTCAGTTAAGGAAGCCGGCAAACATTCATTCAGTAGTTGCTATATTCCAGGCACTGTACTAAGTCCTGGAGATGTAAAAGAGATAAAAAAAGCAGTCCCTGTATTCAAGGAAATCATATTATAAGGGAGAGAAATGTAACTGGCAAATAGAAAAAAATCTATATAAAGAAGAGGTGAAGATAATGTCAGAAAAGAAGGCAAAAGCAGCCGGGTGGAAGAAAACAGGGCTCCTGCAGAAGACAAGAATTTTCCTCCATCTTGAAAAAGGCCAGGAAATTCAAGGGACGAAAGTTAAAAGGCAGCATTCATGACATAGAGTACAGCTTTATATCTAGACTGTTAAGGGAAATGGATAAATAGAAAAAATATTTGTATCAAATATACTGTTTAGATAAGGTTTGTTATATATCAGAGGTGTAAAACTCATGGCCTGTGGGTCACACGCAGCCTGCCAAACTCCCGAGTGTGGCCAGAACCAGATGAAAATGTAATTGGTAAATGTTTAAGAAAATTAATAACAGTACAATATTTCATAAATAATGTTAATCTGTGGTTTTCTAAATCAACAAGTGGCCTGCAGCGATCAGTTTCTGTTTGAGTTTGACACCTCTGGTTACACACATACATGCTCACATGCATATATGCATACACACATACACATACCTACACACATGTGTGTATATAAATATGTGCTTATATATGCATATATTGTGTATGTACACATATTTATAAGCAAAAACATTTAATAAGTAAGTGGTCAAAGGATATGAAAACTATTCTCAGGAGAATTCAAAGTATTGACTATCATATGAAAGAATACTCAAAATCACTAATAATAAAAGAAATGCAAATCAAAACAGCACAGTGATTTCACCTCACTCCCATCAAATTGACAAATACGAGAATATTAAGTTATTGAGGACTTGTGGGAAAATAGACTTTGTTGGTGGGGTTGTGAATCAGTATGACCACTTTCAAAAGCAATTTGAAGTTATTAAAATTAAGTGACTAAAATGTTCACAGCATTTACCCAAAGAATCCAATACTATACATATTCCACAAAAGTACCACTTGTATGAAGGAAATTGGGACAGATATCAAAACACTTACACCAACACTTTTGAGCAGGTTTTTATTTTCTAAATGTGTTTCTTTAAAAAAAAAAAGTGTTTCTGATAAGCAACAGATAAGAATGTTCTGTTTTCTTATCCAGTTTTTAACTTTTTCGTTTTATTGGTTGTTAATTCCATTCACATTTAAAGATATAAGAATTAAGCTTATATTTTCCTCCTCCTCTAGTGCTGAGTTTTTTCAAGGTATGATTTTTTCATCTTCTGCTGTAAACAAAGTATTAACATCCCTCAGTTACTTTACATTAATCTTCTTCTTTTAAGGTTGCCCTCTTCCTACTGGATCTCTTCCCCTCCCGCATCCCCTTTTCTTCTTTGCTGCCCCTTTTCCTTTGAGGTTTTCTTTATTAGAACACTTTACTCCTGTTTTTATCTGGTTATATAATTCTCACCACCACTATTTTAAATTCTCAATCAGAAGATTCCCCCTTTTCTGCCCTTTCAGTTATTAATGCCCATTAGTAGTTAAATTTTCATTTTTGTATGCCTTTCCAAAAAGGATTTTTGCTCTTTCTTCATTATCCATCTTCTCTGTTTGTCTACTCTAGACCTTCATTCTATGATGCACAGCCTCTATAACTATATAGTGTCTCTCTCCTTTTCATGTACTCTTCACGCAATCAAAGCTTTCAAGGTATCTATTCTATACTCTCCACTCTATGCATTTTTTGCCACTGCCTGGTAGGACTTGCCCCATGGATCTCCCTTTTCCTTTATGTCTCACACCCAGAAGAATGCCAATTATTTCAGGCATCAGAGAAGACAGTCTATGGTGGGATCCCTCCCCTCTTACATCCCTCATTATTCAGCCTACCACTGATCTATACCCTCCTCTGACACTGTTTCCCCATATTTATCTTGAAATCTCCTCCCGGTATCCATGATCGCCCACTCTCCCAGGTGTCAGTTGCTCCCAGGGGATTTAACTCCACTTCCCGAACCCCACTCTCAGTGTAGGATCAGAAGACTTTTCAAGCACAAAACCCCCAAGGCCAACTGCAGTGCGCATTTCTCTTCATGGACCATCTCCCTTCACCCATAGGACCTTTCAGAGGTGGAACCCCTTCCCCCACCAAAGTAAGGCTTTATGTGTATATAGACAGTGCAGGAAGTAATGCACTCCAACTTCGTCAGCAAGTGAAACAAATGCAGGGGGCAGGTGGGAAGAATAATTCACAGCTCCTGCAAATCCTTTTGCTATAGTCCTAAAGCTCTGTCGGTAGGTATCATATAGGTTTTTTTTTCTTTCAGGTTCATTGTAGAGCCATGAATCACCTTTCCTCATTGTACTTGGTCTGTCCTTTGCCTCAAATGTATACCTTGTGGTTAGCCATCATGCAGGTGATGCAAGCGTGCCAGAGAAAAAGTGCAAGTCCCCCTAATACTTCACAGTTAACAGGACTCCCTGGGTTAAAGGAGGGAGAACTTGTCTGTAACCAAGATGAAGGCTTACCACTCTACTTTTCCCCAACCAATCCATTACACTTCTAAAGTTTAATCAGAACCGTCTGTCTTATCTCTAATACCAAAAACTAGTCTTTCTGATTCCAACTAGCTCCCTAAAATTGTAGGGACTCCTGAAAATGAGGTCAATCCCCTCAACTGTCCCAACACAATTTCTTGTCACATCTAGAAAGTGTCCATTCACTGCTCACACCTAGTGAACAGATGAGGTGTGTGTTCAAGAGATGAAAAAATCAGAGCATAGAGCATTGTCACTTAATTTACGAAGGTGAATAATTTGACTGATATAGTCATTTGACCTTTACACTTACACACAAAACTGTGAAAGTCTATACATTTGATGGACATCACCATAGAAACTATTTTAAAAGACAGGCTGTACCATTACCTACATCCTGTGAAGAATGTAAGGTCCTTATGAGTAGGTATTGCTTCATTCTTTGTGTTTGTAAATCAAACACCTGGCTTATAGTAGATAATTAATTGTTGACTTATAGATCAGTATCTAGCAAACTTCTAAGACCATCTAATAATAGAATCATTGGAGGAGTCTATATTCAGTTAGAAAAGCTGAAAACTGGATAAATGAAATCAAGTTTAATAATAAAGAATAGACCTAGAGTAAGCCTGGATTGCATACTAGGTTCCATATCAATGACCATTTCCCAGCATAGAAAGAGATATTAACCTTGTAAAGTAAGAAATAATACCTTTAACAATTGTACCTATTTTCCATGGGACTGGGGACAATTTGTTGAATCTAAAATCCTAAGAACTTGTTTGTCTTTTTCAGATATGAAGCACTGTGTGAAGTGCCCAGAAGATGAGTATCCAAATAAGGAAAGAAATGGATGTCTCCCCAGGGTTGTGACTTTCCTGGATTTTTCAGAACCTTTAGGGGTAATTCTGATCTGTGTAGCTCTTTCCTTTTCTCTAATGACAGCTCTGGTTCTCTGGATATTTGTGAAGTTTCAAGACACCCCCATAGTGAAAGCCAACAACCGGGCTCTCAGCTATACTCTCCTCATCTCTCTCAACCTCTGTTTCCTCTGCTCCCTGCTCTTCATTGGCCATCCAACATCAGTCACCAGCCTCCTCAGACAAACAATATTTGGGGTTGTGTTCACTGTAGCTGTGTCCTCCATTTTGGCCAAAACTACCATGGTTGTTCTGGCTTTCAGTCTCACAACACCAGGGAGCAGGGATAGAATATGGGTGCAATCCAGAGTGTCGAACTGTGTTGTTGTTATCTGTCCTGGGATTCAAGTGGTTCTCTGTGCCATCTGGCTGGGAACCTCAACACCTTTCCCAGACAGAGATACACACTCTGAACCAGGTCAGATCATCATTGGGTGCAATGAGGGTTCTGTCATTGCCTTCTACTCTATCCTGGGCTACATGGGATTCCTATCACTGTGCAGCTTCACTGTGGCTTTCCTGGCCAGGAACCTTCCTGATACCTTCAGTGAAGCCAAGTTCATCACATTCAGCATGCTGGAGTTCTGCAGTGTGTGGGTCTCCTTCCTCCCAACATACCAGAGCACCAAGGGCAAGGCCATGGTTACTGTGGAAATCTTCTCTATCCTGGCATCCAGTGCTGGGTTACTAAGCTGCATCTTTATTCCCAAGTGTTACGTGATCCTGCTGAGGCCAGACAGAAACACCCAGAAAAGTATAAAGAATAAAGTAGCTTCCATGGGAAGGAATCATTCTGGATCATTGCCTCCTAATTCCTTCCAGGGGCATAATCGACTTGAAGGATAAGTATGCCAATGTGGCAGGGGACCTGGGACATTTCTCCTCTTGCCTTCTATCTAGGATTGCAGAATTCCACACCATACCTCCTTCTGATTGTGCCTTCCCTCAGATGAATTTCTTGACCCTTCCTAATACATGGAAACCACAACTTACCATCAAGTCAGGATGGAACAATGACACTGACATTTCTAATTACCTTCAGCAGACGTCTTGCCATTCACTGATGTGTTGTCTAGACTAATAATAAATTGTTTTGGACACCACCACCCTCTTTTATTTTAAATAATCCCAGTTAATACTGAACTGTCAGCTTCCAAATAATACCTCATCCCCAAATATCAGGTATCTCCTTCCTAATTACAATTTACCTCAAAACTTCAAAAAATGTTCTACTATTTGATGGCTAAATATGTAATACTCCCTTTCACTGTGCTCTTTGTAATGCATGTGCATAATCAACAAACTTCTTTTCATCTTAAACCTCTTAACTTCTCACTTTTCTTATGTACTACCACTCACTGAGACCTACTTTTTTCCTGTTGAACCTCCTTCCTCCATCACACTTTCCAGTACTGGCTATACTCTCTGTCATGTCCCCACCTCTATTATTTAATTCATCCATTGCAGTGGGAGAATTTTTTCTTGCTCCACGTTGCTGCTTCTAGGCTTCCTGTCAAATTCAGCAATCTCTTTCTCCTTAATGTTCACATTGTCCAAAATCAGTCAGCCAATCAAGATTTTCCTGGATATTACATAATGTTATCCCCACCTTGAACATTTCCCCCCCTTCATAACTGAATACACACACAGATTTTCTCTGCACACTTCCTGCTCTTATCCTATTTGATTTCAACACACCTATTGATGTGCCCTCAAATGACATAGCTTCCCAGTTCCTCAATTCACATGATCTATTCCTCAACTGCACATCACCAAAAAAAAAAAAATCACCTTTAACTTTGCAGACACCCACACATGTTCCACTCATATTTGTGAACTGCAATTCCTTTACATGAATGCAATCTTATTTGGTACCAGAAAGTTTATTTTTTATATTTTTAAATCTTACTTTGATTTTCAGTTCCAAATTCTCTTCTTTCTTTCATCCGTCCTCCATTCATGGAGAAGGCAAGAAATGTATCTATTTACATACATCATGAAAAAAAATATATTTTCACATTAGATATGTTCCCTCAAAAGGAAGAACATTAAAGAGAAAAATATGCTTAAATCTGCATATCCATCTCTGGAAGTGGATAGTTTTTTTGTGTTTTTTTTATAACAATTCCTTTTGGAACTATGGTGAATTATTGCACTGATCTGAGTTTTCATAGATTTTCACAGCTGATTATCTTTACTACATTGCTGCTTCTGTGAATATTCTTCTGCTGGTTCTTCTCACTTCATTTTGCATCGGTTCATAAATGTCTTCCCAGGTTTTTCTAAAACCATCCCCTTCAACATTTCTCACAGCACAATAGTATTCCTTCACATATTCATACACTGTGACTTGTTTGGCCATTCCCCAATATCTGGCCAGCCACATGGTGTCCAATTTTTGCTACCACAGAAAGATTTGCTATAAATATTTACTGAATATGAGTCTTTTTCCTTTTTCTTTGATTTGTTTGGGGTATATACATAATAGTAATATTTCTAAGCCTAAGGGTGTGTATAGTTTTAAACTCCTGTGAGCACAGTTTCAAATTATTCTCTAGAATGTTTGGACCACTTCACAAATGCATTAGTATGCCTATTTTTCCATGTTCTCTCCAGCACTTGTCATTTTGTTTTTCTATCTTTTGTAATCTTTTCTCTCTCCATTTGTTCCTATTTCTTATTAGCCCTAAACCAGATATTTTACCTGGCTGTGACCCTCAATCACTCAATACTTCTTCAAGTTATCTAACATGTACTAATTATACCCTTCTCCCTTCCAAATTTTAATATATTCATGAACAAGTTCATCTCTACATCATCAACTACTCTTGAATAACTTGTACTATAAATGATCACACCATGCAAACCTCAACTGTGTATTATTCTCCCAATCAGAACTTGTGTGTAGCTTATTCATGTTCAAGAATATCATCCACCTGCTAGTTGGCTCAGTGGGTAGAGTGCCAGGCCTGAAGCTAGGGAGACTAATCTTTCTGAGTTCAAAGCCTTCCTCAGACTCACTTACTGGCTGTATGACCCTGGGCAAGTCATTTGTTTTCTTTCCCACTTAATAGTATTTTATTTTTTCCAATTACATGTAAATAGCTTTCAACATTCACTTTTATAAGGTTTTGAGCTCCAATTTTTTCTCCCTCCTTCCCTTCCCTCCCCACTCCCCAAGATGGCAAGAAATATGATATAGGTTATACATGTACAATCATGGTAAACATATTTCCACAATAGACATGTTGTGACAAAAGAAGCAGAACAAAATAGAAAAACCATGGGAAAGAAAAAACAAAGAAGTGGAAAATAGTACGCTTTGATCTGCATTCAAACTATAGTTCTTTCTCCGGATATGCATAGCATTTTCTAACATGAATCTTTTGGAACTGAGTAAGATCATTGTATTGCTGAGAAGAGCTAAGTCTATCAAAGTTGGTCATTGCACAGTGTTGCTATTACTGTGTACAATGTTCTCCTGGTTCTGCTCACTTCACTCAGCATCAGTTCACGTAAGTCCAGGTTTTTCTGAAAGCATCTAGTTCATCATTCCTTATGGCACAATAGTACTTCATTATACTCATATACCACAACTTGTTTAACCATTCTCCAGTTGATAAGCATCTCCTCAATTTTCAATTCTTGCCACCACAAAAGAGCTGCTATAAATACTTTTTCTACAAATAGGTCCTTTTCCCTTTTCTTTGTTGTCTTTGGGATACAAACATAGAAGTGGGAGTACTGAATCAAAGGGTGTGCACAGTTTTATACCCCTTTGTACCACTACCTATATCCTATTAGAATGGAAGGTCCTTGTGAGTGGGTATTGCTTCACTCTTTGTATTTGCAACTCGTATACCACGCCCACCACAGGCACTTAATTGTTGATTTGTAGCTTAGTATCTTGCAAACTTCTCAGACTATCTAAATCCAGAGTTATTGTTACAAGATAATGGATTCAAAAAGGATTGAGAGAACAATGTGAAAGGGCTCCAGTTCCTATGACTTTCTACTGTAAACCTGAAGGGAACTGACCTCTAACCTGTGGGTGGACAGAGCTGAACAGAACAGACTAGGGACAAGACAGTCAGGAATCAAACAGAACTTTAATGATGGAAGTGGCTTGCAATCAAGGACATTCTTGCCTCCTGTATAGGACTGCAGAATTTCACACAATACCTCCACCTATTTGTGCCTGCCCTGAGATGAGTTTTCTGACCCTTCCCAAGACATGGAAACATAACTTACCATCCGATTAGGATTGAAGAATAACATTGACATTTGTAATCATGTCCCTCCCTTAGCAAACATCTTGCCATCCACTGATGTGCTACCTAGACTAATAACAAAAATTTTGGACACTTTCATCCCCCTTCTATTTTAACAATCCCAGTTATATTGATTCGCAAGCTTTTAAATAAGACCCCCATCCACAGTATAAGGTATCGCCTTCCTCATTCTTATCCTCCTCAATTCTCCTACCAATGTCCTACTAAATATTTCACCTCCCCTTGATGTGTTCTTTGCAATGCCTGCAGCATAAATTGCAAGCTTCTTTCCATCTTAAACTTCTTAAGTTCTCATTCTTTAACTTCATGTTCTAACACCCAAGGAGATCTCCTTCCCCCCGATGAAATTCCTTCCTTCATCACACTTTCCAATGCCAGCTACAATTTCTGTCATGTCCCACTCCCCATCACCTATTTCACTTGTTGGAGTGGAGGATTAAGAATATTTTTGTTTCCTTTTCTGCTTGAGGCTCTCTGTCAACATCCATCATTCACCAACCTCTCTCTCTTTGACGTTCATATTATCCACATTCACTCAGCCAATTTACATCTTCCTGGATATTATATAATGTTATCCGTACATTGAATATTTTCCCTTCTTCACAACTGAATCAGGTGCCTGACTCACAATTTTGCTCTACATCTCACTTCTTGCCCCCCATTGTTGTTACCCCCAATGCCATAACTTCCCAATTCTTCGAGTCACATGATTTTTTCCTCAACTCCACCTCACCTATAAAAGGAGATAGTAATGACTTTCAGTCTTTGCTGACACCTACACGTGTTCACCTCATATTCATGAACTGCAATTTCTTCATCTCAATGTAATCATTTTTTGTTGTAAAAAGAAATTTTACTTTTTGTATTTTTAAAACTAAATTTTATTTTCAGTTTCAAATTACCTTTTTTTCTCCACCCCACATACATCCATTGAGAGGGCAAAAAATATGATGCCCATTATACTTATGAAGTCATGAGAAATAATTTTTCACCTTAACTATGTGCAAAATAAAAGAAAAAGTATTCTTCAACTGCATTCTGAATGCATCAGTTCTCTACCTGGAGGTGGATAGCCTTTTTATTATAAGTCCATTGGAATTATGGTGAATTATTTCATTGATTAAAGTTATTAAGCCTTTCACAGTTTATTATTTTTTCAATATCACTACTACTGTGTACATGGTTGTCCTGGTTCTTCTCACTCCATTTCGCATCAGTTCATATGAGTCTTCCTAGATTTTTCTGAAATCATCCCCTTCATCTTTTTTTGCAGCACAATAGTATTTCTTCATATTCATATAACATAAGTTGTTCAGCTCTTTCCCAGTAGATGGACCTACTCTCAATTTTCCATACTTTACCACCAGAAAAAGAGCTGTTATAAGTATTTTCATACATGTGAGTCTTTTTCCTTTTCCTTTGATCTATTTGGATATATACATAGTAGCGATTTTAATGAAACAAAATGTACGCACAGTTTTATGGCACTTTGGGCATATTTTCAAATTGTTCTCCAGCATGGTTGGACCAGTTCACAACTCCATAGTGCGTTAG